TAGGAGAAGGAGACAAACACACTAATAAGAGTGGATGTTTAAACAACACTCTTAGTACAAAACTGCTTAGGCTGATAAGTAAAGATACAAATGACATAAACAATATAGTGAATAAGGTAGATCTTTTGAACTTTTGTTGCATTTTACATTCTGAAAATAAGACTATATTTTTCTCAAGCAAACATGGAAGACTGACAAAAACGATCCACTTTTAAGTCTCAAAGCATCAGTGCATTCCAAAGAGTAAATTACTATAAACAATATCATAATAATATTGTGATAATTCTTGGCATTAATAAAAACAATATTTAAAGGCCCTTCCACATAAAAATTTAAGAATTTCCTATTGAACTGCTTTTCTGGTGAAAGAAAAATACAAACTTTCCAAAAGAATAAAGAGAACAAAAACATTATATACCAAAATCAATTAGATGTCACAGAAAACAATAAGCAGAGGAGAATTCATAGCCTTAAACTCTTATGAAAGGACACCCAATTGGAGAATTAAAAAAGAAGACAAAGGTAAAATTAAAAGAGTACATATGAAGACATAATAAAGAAAAAATCAGAAATTAATAATTAGAAAAAAAAATCTCAATAAATCAAAATCGAACTTTGTTAAAAATTAACAAAAGGGACTACTACTGGCCACCTTTACCAGGATAGAAAAAGGAAGAAAGCAAAATAAAATTTAGAATACCTAGAAAGAAACAATCATTGAGGTAGAAAAAATTTAAGTCACAAGAAACTACGATGCAGACTACCATGCAAATAAATATGAAAAAATAGATAACATGTAAAACAACTATAACAGATACTCAAATAGAAATACAGAACTTAAACCACCAATTTCTATAGAAAAAAGTAGAGAATTACAAATAACTACCTCATAGGAAAGCAAAATAATCAAATGGTTTCACATTCAAAGACCAGATGGTTCCAATGTAACAGAAGTAGTTCTAAAACACAGAAAATAAACCTCTAAATTATTTTTATGAATGAAATATGTTGGTACCAAAATATGATAAAGACAGAACAAAATTAGAAAACTATGGATCAATATCACATGAATATCAATATGAAATCACTTCATAAAATATTAGTCAACTTCAACACTGTACTAATATTATGTCATAACAAATTGAGATGTATACCTTAAAAGTAAGGTTGGTTCAATATTAGAAGTACAGCAATATATTATACCACATTAAAAGATTTGAGACAAATATATGATTATTTCTATTTAGGCTAAACAAAGACTCTGAAAAAATTCAATACTGATTCAATAAAAATAAAAAATATTCAAGAATATAGAAGTTGACAGATACTTTCTTGACTTTATAAACAGATACACACACACTCATATTCACACATATATTCACACACTATACACAAACCTTAGTCCTAAAGCCATCATCACATTTAACGGGGTAATACTTCAGGCATTTCCAATAAGATTAGGAAGAGTAAAAGATGATTACCACCTTTCTTACTATTTAATACTGTACTGGATGTACTAGACAAGGCAATTAAACAAGACAAATCAAATACAAAAACTGTTAAGAAAAACTACTGTATCTACTTGTATATGACAGTTTTCTAAGAAAACTCTAAGGAACCATTACAAAAACTACTCCAAACCAGAAAATAATTCCGTAAATTAACAGGATGTAAAATTAATGCATGGAAATAAAAATTTTAATATATATAAACAAAAATCATAAGAAATAATAAATCCACATTGACAACATTAACAAAAGGTATAATATTTAGAAATAAGTGTAATAAGAAATATGCAAAACTAGTAAGAAGAAAGATTTAAAATAATCCTAAGGAAGGATCTAATGCAAAATTAACTAAAAACAAAAACATTCCTTGTTATATGAACAAGGAACATATAGATGTTATATGAACATCTATACATCATAAAGATATCAGGTCTTCCCCAAATTAATTTTAAAACTTAACACAATTTCAATGAAAATGCCAGCAAGTATTACTCTTATGAGAAACTAGAAAAATAATATAGAAAAATACTGTATAAATTGCTAGCATAACACTGAAAAAGAACAACTACGGGGAACTACTAGTCCAACCTGATGTTAAAATACATTTTATAAAGCTTCAGAAATTAACACATCAGTATTTATGCCTCGTATTGTTATATAAATAGACAAATCAGTGGGATTCAACAAAGTACAGAAATAAAACCAAATACATGAGGAAATGGAATATATGATAAAAGCAGCAACAAATATTACTGAAGCAAAGCCATATTTTAAAATAGTGTTAGAACAACTGGAAAACCACTTTTAATAAACTCTAATGAATAAAAGACCTTTAAGTTTAAAAAATGAAACCAGGTAGAGCAAATGAAATATCACACATTGCTGATGGGAATGTATAATGGTACAATCAGTCCAGAAACTAACTTGGCAGTTTCCAAGTTAAACATACACTTTCATATGACCCAGAAATTCCACTCCTATTTACTCAAAAGAAAGTGAAACATATGTCTCCACAAAGCCTGTATGTGAATGCTTAGCTTATAGCAGCTTTATTTATAATTGTCAAAAACTGAAAACAACCCAGAGAGCCATCAACAGGTGAACATAAATTGTAGTTTTCAATAAAATATTACTCAGCAATAAAAAGGAATGAACTACTAACGACCTACAAAGATAAATCTCAAAAGCATTATGTTAAGTGAAGGAAGACAGACACAAAACAGTACATACCTTACAATTCCATTTATATACCATTCTTGAAAATGCACAAATATAGGGACGGAAATCATTCTAGGGGCTGGTAGCAATGCCAGGAAAAGGGGACTGACTCTAAAGGGGAATGAGAGAACTTTTGGAAAGAAATGTTCTACATCTTGGCAGCAGTAGTGGTTACATGATACATACATCTGTCAAAACATATCAAACTGTACATTTAAAAAGGTAACATTTACTGTTTGTGAATTATATCTCAAAAGACCTAACCTTTAAAAAGTATGCAGATATTGCCAAATTTCCCATCCACTAACTATTTTCCTATACCTATTTAATTTACATTCCCAAGGGGATTCTAAAAGTGCTGATACCTTTATCCGCCTCAATATTATCAGACTATTATTTTAGTCCTCTTCAATTTGACACATACTTTAAAAAGGGTGCCTCGATGTTTTGGTATCCTTATCTTTTCATTTTAACAAAGGTGGCCTTTTTTCCTGTTTCTAGGACAGTCATATTCCTTCTCTGTTCTGTTTTTTCATTCCTTTCCATCATTGCTTTGAAAACATATTTGGTGTTTTCCTTGTTAACTTTTTTTAGTAGTGGCTAGATATTCTCAAATATTTGTCATAAATCTATTTCCCAGTTTCTCATTCATTCTTTCATTTTGAAGAATTTTTAAATATACAGACATCTTAAAATTTTAAAGCTGTCAATATTTTCAGTTGAGATTTTTGTTCTCTTGTATTTTTATTTAGAATTTAACCCATGCAGAGATCAAATATTCGATTACATTTTTTTCTAATTTTTTATAGACTCAATCATTTAACTCCTTAAACATGATAATACAGTAGTCAACTGGTTATACTGTTATTTAAATTTAAGCTAAATTAAAAATTCAGTTTCTCAATATTTTTAATATTTAAAAATATCTGCTTTTTTAAACAGACTATATTTTTAGAGAAGTTTTAGGTTTGATTAGGTAAATTTACAGCGATATAGATAAAACTGAGTGGAAAATACAATAAGTGCCCATCCTCTCCACTATCAACATCCTTCACTAGACTGGCACATTTTTTAAAGTGGATGAACCTACAATGACACATCATTATCATCCAAAACCCACCGTTTACATTACGTTCATTCTTGGTCTTGTCCATTCTGCAGATCTTAACAACCAAATGATGACATGTATCCACCATTACAGTATCATGCAGAATAGTTTCACTGCCCTAAAAATCTACCATGCCTCACTCATTCATCCTTCCTCTCCCTTCTAACTTATGGAGATAGCAAAAAATTGATATTTTTACTCTCTCCATGGTTTTTTCCTTTTCCAGAATGTCATATACAGTAGTTGAAATTATATAGTATTTAGCATTTTCAGATTGGCTTCTTTCACATAGTTAAATACATTTAAGTTTCTTCCATGTTTTCTCTTGGCTCAAAAGTTCATTTCTATTTAGCAATGAATAATATTCCATTAACTGGATGTATCAGTTTATCCATTCACCTACTCAAGGACATCTTGGTTACTTCAATGTTTTGCTGAGTATAAATAAATCTACTATACGATATTCATGTTCAGGTTTTTGGGTGGATGCAAGTTTTCAACTCATCTGGGTAAACACTAAGGAGCACAATTGCTGCTTGATATGTTAAGAGTGTCTAGCTTTCTGAAAAACTGCCAAACTGTCTTCCAAAGTGGCTGTGTCATTTTGCATTCCCATGAGCAAGAAATCAGAGTTTCTGTTACTCCATATACTCATCAGCAGTTGGTAATGTACTGACCATGTTTCAAATATTTAGCAACATATTGCCAATGGCTACCATATTGGAGAGTCAAACAGAATATTTTCATCATTACACAAAGTTTTAATGGAAAAGCTTCTCTGCTTAAAATTTAATTGGTTATAGAGTAGGAAATGATAAACTAATATGACAGCTTTTTTTAACCTCTGCATAAATCCAACTCTACTCCCACTGGATTTTGGGGTTCTTTGTTTACCTATATTTGCTCAGAAATTCAAATTCCTGCTCAGCCACTTCTTAACTATGTGCCCATTAACATATTATTTAACCCCTCTGACTCCCAGTTTCTCATCCTAATTACTCATTAGTTTGGTACAAAGATTAAATTAGATAAGCAGGTAAGATAAATTACAACATTCATCATGTTATGCCCTCATTTGTAAATTCTTCTGGGTTAAGAGTTTGTTTTCTGAATGTTTCAGTTTCATACTTTAAAGATCTTTACTAAAAGCAAAAGTATGTATTTACCTGATCTGGATTTTTGTAACCCAAAAGTAGATTTGCTGCTTTTATATCACCATGAACATACTCATTTTCATGTATATATTCCAGTACATCCAACTGTGAAAATAAATAGATAAAATAAGGTTATACTGCTATCTATTTAGAACTCATGATCAATTTCAGCATTTTGAATACAGAATAACATGGTTTTTTTAATATTAACAATGACAAAGTGATGTATTTCACAATTTAATGGTCAATTATTCTAAAATATCACATCTTCTGGTTGCTCATCCTGGAAAAAAAGTTGAATAAAATGATCCTCAAAAATCAAGTGTTTTAGTTGAAGTTCCAATGGAAGAAAATTAGGATTCAAAAATGCTTATGCCTAATTCCTGATGGCCCAGTAGCCAAACTGCACTGCACAAAGAGGAAAAACACAGCATAAAATCAGAGATCTACAGTGAAACAATCTTGAAGCCCACTCAGCAATTCCTCACCTAAACAATAATTTTAAATCAAGTCTTAAGAATCTTAGAACAAAATGCCATGTCCATAAGCAAAGGGAAAGGTATTCTTCCTCTATATGGTAATAGAAAACTCCTTGGCGTCATCTCTAAAGCCCTTCAGCCATTATGTTACATACACTTTGTACTCAATAAACATTTGCTGGCTTGGAGGATGGATAAATGAGAAAATTAATGCATTCCATTTGCTGCATCCCAATCTGGCATAAGCAGCTTCATGCTACTGAAAGTGAAAAAATGAGACTTAAAACAACACAAATACAAATATCACAATACAAATATGTAGCATAAACAAATGTATGCCTGGGTGCTATGAAGAGTTCCTTGCTTCTGATTTGGTAAAGTATATTTTATTCATTGCCACAACTAATTATTACCACCATCCCAAATTCATAATAAAAACTTTATAGCACCCCATACCATCTCATGTTTAAAATGGCTAACAACACATTTTGCCATAACTTGCATTGTTATAACTGACGAAAGAAAGGTTATTCTTAATGGCAATGAAAACTTGTCGTGGTATGCAAAAGAAAGCTGTGAGGAAAAAGATCAGACTGGAGAACCAAAACCTGATTGAGTTTGCAGTGCCAGACACAGCACAGCACATTCTGTCACTTACAGAGCCCACGGTTATCAATTTCACCAAAACAGTCTCTACTCCTAACTGATGTCTCTAGGGCAATAATCCCTCATTCTCTAATAGCAAAAGGAAAAGATTTCTATACTGTAAGAAGTAAATAATTTGGAAACAGATCATGCGAAATAAGTAATTCTTTCTTACCATTCGGATACCTAATTGCAGGACAGTTGACTTTTTAAAGGTACCATTCTGGTCTGAGATCTTCTGTAAATCTATTCCTAGTCTTTCCATTACCATAAATCTGTAACTATAAGAAAGAAGCATCAAAAAAAGATCATCCTGAGAAAGTAATGCTTGAAATTGTCTATTTAATTTGAAACAAGAAAAATTATGCCCAACCTAACAACCAGGTATGATACAATCTAAACCATTAGAGAATGAATGCACGTTCATAATTCTGCTATTGCTTTGCAGAAACTGCTCAGTATTATTTACTTTGCAGCTGGTTTTCTAGAAGAGAATGCTGTACTGAACCATTCACACTATATTTACATATAAAAAACTCTTTCTAAATTAGACAGTACTTAATTCAATTTATTTTGACTCCATGACTTCTTGCAATGTGGTCCTGAAAAAATTTTTGTCCACACATAAATTTTTTTGTTTTTGTTTTAGATGGAGTCTCGCTCTGCTGCCAGGCTGGAGTGCAGTGGCACAATCTCGGCTCACTGCAACTCCTGCCTCCCGGATTCAAGCACTTCTCCTGCCTCAGCCTCCTGAGTAGCTGGGATTACAGGTGCACGCCACCACACCCAGCTAATTTTTGTATTTTTAGTAGAAATGGGGTTTCACTATGTTGGCCAGGATGGTCTCGATCTCTTGACCTCGTGATCCACCTGCCTCAGTCTCCTAAAGTGCTGGGATTACAGGCGTGAGCCACCGCACCCGGCCATGTGAATTTTGTATTTGTTTCTTGATAAGATACTTACCTTCTCTATACATGTATAAACATGTCTTTTTTTAAGTGCACTTCTTCCTTTTCTGTTCTGTTTGGCACTTCCATACCTTCTTTCCTTCCCTTCATTTATATATTCACATCAGCACCTATTCTATATCTGTCTATGTGTGCATACACAAACGCACACATTTAAGAATTTGTTTTACAAAAATGTGATCGTATTATATGCACTTTCTCCATCTTACTTTTTTTTCAGTAGTATCTCATCAAAATCCTTCTAAGGCAACTAGTGTAGCTCTAATTGACTTCTTTAATGGGCTACATATGATGTGATATGGATGTACCATGATTCAATCAACCATTCAGTCCCCTACTGGCAGCCCTTTACTTCACTTCAAGATTACTGTTCACTCATTTTGTTTTTATTTAAAGCATTTAAAGACCATTTGAACAAAGTACTGACATCTGAGCTTATTTTCTCATCTATGAAATAAAAACACTATCACCTAAATAGGTTATTCAAAGGACAACACAAGATAAAGTATATACAAATCTCTGGCACAAAAGGGTAAATAAAAACAACAGACATTTTTTTCTTTTTTTTAATTACTATTAATAAATTACATATAGGACTAGCCATATTTGGTGGTTTTAAAGATATCGCTATAACTTATTAGTTGTGCTTCCCCTCAAAAGATAGAACTTGATTCTCTCTCGAGGACCAATGGATCTAGTGACTAGCTTCTAGCAAAGAGAATAAAGCAGATGTAATAATAATATCCCTCTTAAGATTAGATTACAAAAAACTGACTTCCTTCTTGAATACACTTGTGTGCATGCTCTCCCTCCCACCCCCAATTACTTGCTCTAGAGAAAGCCAGCTATTTTTCATAACACTCAGGTAGCTTATGCACAGACCCACATGATCAGGAAGTAAGGCCTGCCAACAATCACATAAGTAAATTAAGAAGCACATCTTAGGCCTACCAGTAGCCACATAAGTAACTCTGAAAACAAATACTTCCCCAGATGAGCCTTGAGATGACTGTAACCCAGCAGACAGCTGACTATACCCTTATTAGAGATCCTGATCTAGAACCATCCAGAAAAGCCAGTTGCAAGCTCCTTGCCCACAGAAACTAAGACAATACGAGTTTGTGATTATATGCCAATACGTTTTGGGTAATTTGTTACATCACAACAGATAACTCATAGACCACATAAGGAATAGTTATAGAGAAATATTTGTTTATAATCATTCCATTTTACCTTCTTCCTTTGAATTCAGTCAGACCAGATCCATAATACAGAGGAATTCCTAAATAATCAAGTTGTTTGCGTTCTATCCACTTTTTGACTACAAAGACAAATTTATTTTTAAAAAGATTCATGTTACTTCAAAAGATATTTCTCACCTTTCTATAGACAAATTTCTTTAGCTAACCAAAAATGTAACTAAATCTTCCTAGAAAATACATTTTGTTTTCATCAAACATTTCTCATGGCCTCAAACTATTTGTTACCACTATAATCAACAAAAAAATTAGAAAATTTTAAATTAAATCAATAATAAAAATGAGTCAAGTCTTTGTACATTGATACCATATATACTAATGTTTCAATCTATAAAAAGAATTCATTACCTTATATGCTAGCTAAATTCCTAAATTAACATATGTCAACCACCAAAGGTTCAGCAGAGAGATGGCTTTTTCTTCCCTATTACTTCAAAATCTAAAACCATAATGGACAAAATAAAACAACAACAACAAAAAACACAAAAACAGAAATTGGACAGAAAAATCATCTTACTTTGAAATTATTTTATACAAAAACTGGTTCTGATTAAACTTAGTTTACAAAAAATCAAATCCACTTAAATAATCAGTTAATCATTTTTTCATGATTCTAGCCTATATGTTTTATGTTTAACACAGCTCTACTGACAAACAATCAAGTTTAATGGATTCTATTTGTCACTATGACATAGTTTAAGTAGTCGGTAAATACAATCTTAATGTTTAGAATACTTTTTTAAGAAAAACAAAGTTAATTATTGAGGCCAGACTCATCATTCTTATTCCTAAACATGATGTAAAAGACCTTGACTATACAGTCATTACTCCTGTTTACTTCTTTAATGTTTTTCTTAGCCCATCTACATCACATTTATAAAATGCTGTTATTCTTCCTCTCTGCTTATATTCATTTCCCATTCAAATCTTCTATCTGGTAATTCTTACAGTTAGTATCCAGCTCCAATTAATTTTCCAATATTCAAGTTTCTAACACCTTCCTAAACATCTTTAATTAATCATTTCCACATTTCCACACACCTTACCCCAATCCATTCTATAATTGTTCCTTTCTTATACATATATCTGCTTCCCATTTTAATGTTTTTTCCTTATAGCCTTCCTATCCAAATGGTGTACTGTAAAAGAAATAATTTCAATCTACTATCTTTTACACTTAAAGGACTCTTGGTAGCTTAGATTAACAACCTAACATTTTATGTAAAGTAGTAGAAACAACTTTGACTTAAAATATATAACCCATTATGTATGTCATGTCAAGATTTGTATACCATCTGTCTTGCTTTTATATGTTATAACAGTTAACTGTATCACTTTACAATAAAATTTCTATTGAAAAGAATTTTCCAGAAGGCCAGAAAAAGACCAAAATATCAACACTCACTTTAGCAAGAACATATATGGAAGTAGCTTGCTTTGCTAATTTTACTTACTACAGTCTTTTTTTGCAACTCTCTGATAAAATTTAAGTTCTGAAAATAACGGGCCATTTTCTTGATATTCCTAAAAAAAAGAATAATTAATTTTACTAGGAAAAAATAATACTAAAGATGGAATTGTTATTTCAACTGTGAAAATAGGAACATATATATGTAGTACATAATAGTACTTGAATCATTTTTTATACAACATAGGCACCAGATTTCCACTAAAAATCTCAGAAAACACTAAATAAACTTGAAGAATCTAATTTTTAAACAACATATTATACAACTATCCCTATACAGTCTTACACTTTTAAAAGTAGTTTTCTTACAGAAAACACTTACTAAAAGCACTGAGAACTGTATAAACATATACAAACACTCACTGTATACCAACATATACATCTGAGTGATACATAGCAAACTATCCCCGTGGTCCACTCACATATGATACCTTTACTGAGTGGTCTACTGTATTTCATTCACTATACCAAGTACAGGGGACACAAAAAGAAATAAAACCCTATGCTTGCCTTTAAGGACCTTACCATCTAGGGTAGAGAGGGAGAGAGGGTATTTGGGAGGGAAAGAGAAAGAATAGCTAGATAGATAACACACACGGTAATAGTTGGCAATACAGAAAAACAAAGGTTCTCTAGTCTTAATGTTTTAACAGTGTGAAAATAGATCATAACATTAGGTTTACTGATAAGGCAACAGTTACAAAATTAAGGTGAAAAACATTCTTAAATAAATAAAACAGAAAAGGGAAAAGTCAAATATATGTGAAATACAAATCTAAGAGCAACACTTACCACTTTTACTACATGTCTTGCATCTTTGTCTGGTTTAATTGTGGGAAAAGCTGCAGAAAAAAAAACACAAAGGAGAAAAACAGTTATTCCCAATTTCTGAATAGCTACCAGATCCCAGACACTATGCTAAGCACTTTACATATTAAGTTTATTATATCATCCCAACAACCTTTTATGGTAGTAGGTATCCATCATCTCCATTTTATACAAGATGCTACTAAAGTTTAAGAAGTTGAATAAATAAATTGCTCACTAAGACGTAACATATTGGAGATAGAAACTCAAATCTGCCTGACATCACAGCCCATACACTTTATCATAAACCATATTCAAATATTTAAATACAGAACCAATAGACAATATGAATCATATAGATTCAAAATCTAGGGAGAAATATTTTCTAGGTTATTTCTAGATGGTATTAAACCCAATAGATAATACATAGTAAAATCCATTGATTTAATTGCACTAAATCAGAATCCATAGTGATTCAAAAACAAAAATTGTTTCAATTTAAGTAGAAAGTTCAAAACAATTTATAATTGACAAAATTCTAGAATAAGCCAGTTAAAATGAGAAAATCTTTAAAAATATCTTCTGAACCACCAATTACTTTTACATTAAAGAATACATATCTCATAAATTTATTTCAGTTAAAGAATATATATCTCATAAATTCATTTCAATTTCAAGTTACTTCTTTTTATTCTTATTTTCCATTTGTAGTTCAGATAGTATAATTCTACTTTTGAAAAACTCGTGTTCAAATTTTAAAATAAATTAATCTTTTCCTTTATATTACCTAAATTATTAAAAGATTGCTGTTTTCAAATCAATAAGTGAAATTTATATGTATATTTATTTGTACTACAAAAGACTAAAATTTCGTCATCTGTTTATTTGTCCACTCTCTAACCATTCATTCATTTATTCGTTTAAATATTTATCAAGAAGCTAGAATATGCCAAGCACTGTGTTAACTGTCTAGATGATGTTTGAAGGGAAAGAAACAAAGGTGGAACTACTATTGACAACAACTGAAAATCAGTAATAAACAGACTTGAGAACCGGATCAAATACATTTATATATATTCAATATATTTATTAAAATGCTGTGTCCTCTTATTAGTGTTGTCCTTTTCTTTCTTATATCAGCTATTTCCTTTTTATTAATTCACATCTTACATATAAAAATATGTCACATATTAAAAAAAAAACTGTACATTACAGCTGAGCCAATTAACGCACAATTTTTAGCCATTCTCTAAAGTTTTTAAATCAGTAAAGCTACTAGCCAGTTGAAGAAAGTATTATTTCAATTCTACCTAATATTAGATATAAATTGTAAACCCAGACCTCTTTGCAATAACAAAGAAACTAAACTTGCTGACAGCACTTAAAATTATCTTTTCACCTTTATTCATGTAAAGTTATTTTATTTTTAGTCATGCAATAGTCCCAAGAAAACTGCAGAAAGAGTGGATTAGCTAGATCCACTTTCTTCTAAGAAAGAAGAAAACTGAACGGTTAAAGAAAAAAATTTTAGAATAACATACAAAATACAATAAAATAAAAATACCTGAGTAAATCTATTTTTAGCCTCACATTTTTTTCACATTTTAACATCTCTGAAATCTGAATGCATCTAAAAAGTGATGACATTTTACAGCTGCTGCTGAGCACAGGGCAGTTATGACATAGTTGTTATTGCTTATGCACACAACACTCAAAACTGTCCATTTGTCTTTACTTAACTGAGTTATGTACATAGCTGATAGTATTACATGTGGAGTTTAACTTAATGATTTGGCACTGAGAAGAAAAATGCTTGTGTATATAGAAAAGTTAACTAAACAACCCACAACAGAGCAGCAGGGCATGAATTTGATATCAGTGAAAAAAAATGTTTATTAAGGTATGACTGCAACAATTGAGTATTCTGAGTTTCTTAAGACAAATTTTAAGAGTATTCTGTCATAGTTTAATGGTCAGCATTAGGTATTAGATATAAATCAGCTCCTACAGAAAATAGGAATGTTCTCTGGGCAAAAAAGAAATCACAAGGAAAATTACAAAATACGTAGGACTGAATAGTAAAAATGTCATATTGAAACTAGTTAGAATGCAGTTAAAATGCATATTAATTACTTGTCTTCCTCTGCTAGAATGTAAACTCCAAAAACAAAGAAATATTTTTGCTTTATTCAGATGTGTTCCAAGCACCTAGAATAGAACCTTGGGCATTAATGAATAAAAAAGTGTTAACTAGAGAAAAATTTATACCATTAAACATTTTGATTTTAAGAAAACTAAAAAATTAGTGAGCTAAGTGCTCCCCTTAATAACTTAGAAAAATAAAGACATAACCAGAAATTAATAAAAAACTGAAAAGGCCTACAACAATAATCTCTCAATAAAAAATGAGAACACCAACACCCATATTATGGTTTCTAAATATCATTTTCAATAAAATGAATCAGGGCTCATTGGAGAAATGGCTGATTCCAGAGCTGAGACAGAGAAAATAAAACTTAAGCAACCAAAGCAATAAAATTTATAATATTAGGATGGTGCAAAAGTAATCACGGGTTTTGCCACTGAAATTAATCATGTTTACTTTCGCGCCAACCTAATACTAATGAACTGTAATCCATTGGAAAAAAATCCATCATCTCTACTGATGTAAGTAAATAAATAAATGGGAGAAATAAGACAGCTCCTTCCTGTAGCTGAAATAAATTAAGAAATATAAATTAAGAAATGTAGAAGAAATGAGAAAAATAAAAAAAAAATCATCATTTGGCAAACATGACAGTAATAACTGGAGCAAGCAAAAGTCATTAATAGATACCAAAATAGATAGGCAAATGGATGATTAAAAGCAACACAACGCAAATACATTCGCTTCTTCCCACAAGATACTTATTAATTGTAAATGGAAAATAAATTTATCGCAGGCTAACCTGACAGCTATCACTTTAATTATTAAAAGGGATCAAAGTTGATATCACTAATAATGATGTACAGTGAATCATGCATCTACTGATATAGTACTGGGAGAAGCATAATATCATTTTTATGATATTCTCACTAAATAAAACATAATCTGAATTTAAAGCTAACCCAAAATGAAGAACAGTCTACAAAATACTAGCTGGTACTCTTCAAGAGTGCCAAGCTCTTTGCAAATCACCTAAGAGGTAAATACACAAAATATATAAATAACTCCCATAAATCAAAATCAACAAAAGTCCAGTTTAAAAATGGGCAAAATCAGCTCAGTGCAGTGGCTCACGCCTGTAATCCCAGTACCTTGTGGGGTTGGTGCTGTGGCTCATGCCTGTAATACCAGTACTTTGGAGGTCAAGGTGGGCTGATCATGAGGTCAAGAGATTGAGACCATCCTTGCCAACATGGAGAAACCCCATCTCTAGTAAAATACAAAACATTAGCTGGGTAGGGCAGCACGCACCTGTAGTCCCAGCTACTTGGGAGGCTGAGACACGAGACTCACTTGAACCTGGGAGGCAGATGTTGCAGTGAGCAGAGATCACACCACTGCACTCCAGTCTAGGCAACAGAGTGAGACTCCATGGCAAAAAAACAAAACAAACAAACAGCATGTAACAATAAAGATAGCAAAACATAGATAAGAGATTTTGAAAAAGATAAACTAATATGATAAACATTATCATCAGTAAACTTAAAAATAGAAGGAATGACAATTTCCTAGAAAAAAAAATTTACCAAAATAATTCAGAAAATAAAAAACCTGAATCGAAATATAATCATTAAAGGAAACAAATCAGTATTTCAAAAAAATGTAGAGTCTTCAACTTAAAATGGTTCCACAAGGTTTTTCAACTTTACAATGGTGCAAAAGCATTGTGCATTCAGTAGAAATCACACTTCAAATTTTTAATTTTGAACTTTTCTCAAGCTAGTGATATGAGGTATGATATACTTACATGAGATATTCAACACTTTATTAGAAAATAGGCTTTCTGTTAGATAATTTTGTCCAATTGTAGGCTAATACAAGTGTTCTGCGCACATTTAAGGTAGCGTAGGGTAAACTATGATGTTTAGTAGATTAGACATATTAACCACCTTATTGACTTAACAATTTCAATCTATGATGGGCTTATCAGAACATAACCCCATTGTAAGTCAAGGAGCATCTGTACAGATAAGATGGAGTAGGAATACTCAACTCTAGCTCTCCCACTGAAAATAGCTACAAAATATAGACAAAAAAGAAGACAGTAGCTATTAGAAGGCTCTTAAAAAGTAAAGAAAGGTTTCCACTCAACATATTAAGAGCTTGGAGGTCCTTACTCCCCTCTTCTCAAAGGGGAAAAAAGAAAAACAACTATCTGGAAATCAACAGCTTTTCTTTAATCCATCAGAGAACTGAGGTTACAAGGCAAATCTGTGCCTAACAACTTGAAAGGCAAGTTAATACAGAGAATCACAGCTTATAGGGGCAGAGTTTTGCCATGAGCCCTCCATATTCTTATAGTGAATATCAGAAAAATCTCCCGTTTCCAGTGGGGGAGGAGGAAACTACTTTGCCAGAACCTAATCAAGATGGGAGAAGAAAAATAACCACTCCAGCCTCCTCTAGCCTTCCTAGCTCACCTAAGTAGGGTATAGGAAGCTGAGAAATACTGGTGAAGGTTACATCCTGGGGCATAGGCCCATTAAAAAGAAAAAGATTTACACTAACCATTAGGGAAATCCAAATCAAAACCACAAGATACCATCTTGCACCAGTCAGGATGACTATTATTAAAAATTCCAAAAACAATACATGTTGGCGAAGCTGCAGAGATAAGGGAACATTTATACACTGCTGGTGGAAATGCAAATCAGTTCAGCCACTGTGGAAAACAGTCGAAAGAGCTCTCAAAGAACTTAAAATAGAAATACCATTCAACCCAGCAATCTCATTATTGGATATATACCCAAAATATAAATTGCTCTACTAAAAAGACACATGCACATGAATGCACATTGCAGCACTATTCACAATAGCAAAGATCAACCT